TAAATAGCCAAAGTCTTCATAATCAGCTTGAGTGAATGCTTCCTTTCTGAGGTAAAAATGATGATATCATCTGCAAAGCTCAGGTGGTTAATTTGGGGGGCCCTCATTTCCATATAGAAACCATGGTATAAAGGGTCTTGGTGGAGTCTATTCAAAGAATTGGAGAGCACCTCATCACCTAAAATAAATAGGGCCGGGGAGAGGGGGTCACCTTGCTTCAAATCTCTTGTTGAAAGAATCCATATCTCTTGCCATTGATAATGATGGAGTACCAATTATTAGACATTATCCTCCAAGTCATATCAATGAACACTTCATCAAACCCCATTTTCCTAAGAACCAAGCAAATGTATGACCCTAAGACCCTATCATAGGCCTTAGCCATGTCTAATTTGATCACTACATTGCTACCAATGGTGGGCTTTTTAATTTGATGAATGATTTCTTGAGCAAGCATAATATTCTCAGAAATGCTCCTACCCTTGAAAATCCTGATTGGTTGGTGGAGATTAAGCAAGGTAAAATAGGGGCCAACCTGAGACATAGTAGCTTGGAGATGATTTTGTTAGTAAAATTGCTCAAACTGATAGGTCTGAACTGAGAAAGTTTACTAATTGTTCACTTTGGGGAGTAAAACCAAACAAGCATGAGAGAAATACTTGGGGAGCCTCTGTCCACTGAAAAAAGCATGAATGAGAGCCAACAAATCATGTTTAATAATGCCCCAACACTTTTGAAAGAAACAACCATTCATTCCATCAGGACCTGCTACAGAGTTAGGATTCATAGAAAAAAACACCTCTTTCAGTTCCTCAATAGTTGGAAGTGAACTTAGTTTGTTGTTTTGATCTTGAGTAACCAGCCTTGGGATACAGTTCATAGGTGTCTCATCAATAAACTTCTCTTCTCCAGTGAAAATATTTTGAAAATGTTCATAGGCAGATTCTTTTATATATTCATCCCCATGTATCCATTCATCATTGTCATCAAGGATTTTGTGGATAAACAACTTCCTTCTCCTTCCTCTAATCAAGGCATGAAATTTTTTTGAGTTGCCATCTCCATCCTTGAACCAGTGAAGCTGTGATTTTTGTCTGAGAATAGAGTCTTCAATTTTCATGTATCTGATTTAATCAACATTAATTGCATGAAGTGCAGCTCTATTTTCATTTGTATTGTCTTGAATCAAGCTTTCTTCTGCAATTTTCACTATTTTCTCATAATCTTTGACTTTGGCATAGATGTCTCCAAATTGCATTTTAGACCAAGAACTAAGTGTAGCAGCAACCATCTTCATTTTCTGATGGAAAATCCATAGAGGGTCCCCTTCCATATGTCTGTCCCAACAATCAGTTACAGTGTCTAGAAAAGTAGGTTGATCTTCCCAGCAGTTAAGAAATCTGAAGTATTTGATGTAGTTTGCATGCCTGACATTCATCTCCATGAGAATTGGACAGTGGTCTGACCCCACAAAAGGAAGGTGAGTGTTGCTAGTGTGTGGCATGCCCTACAGCCACTTGTCATTAGCCATAGCTCTATCCAACCTTTTCCAAATTCTAAAGTTGATACCCCTTTGGTTAGACCAGGTAAATTTAGGTCCATTGAACCCCAAGTCCATTAGTCCACAAGCTTCAATAACACTAATAAACTCAAGGCTCTTTCTCATGTTGTAAGGGATCCCTCCAAGTTTTTCCTCAGTGTTGGTAATAAGATTGAAATCACCCACAGCACACCAAGGAACATCATTTCTAGTATCAACATAGTGAATCATTCTTTCCCATAGTGGTCTTCTGAGGTAGTCTTTGCACTTAGCATAAACAAAAGTATTGATGTAAGTACCAGGTGCTTCCACATAGTTGATTTCACAGGTGATTTGTTGTTCATCTGCTTCCAGAACTTTGCAGGAAACCTCAGTTGTCCAAGACAACCAAATCTTTCCATTGTTGTTGCTAGTAACATGATCCATGGCTCACAACAGTATTGGCGCAAAAGGATTGGTCATTCATTTTCTGATCATTCGCGAGTCGAACTCGCTCTCTTGCCACGCCTTTCACTCACTCGCTTGAGTCGACTCAATCACTCTTTGAGTTTGGAGGATCATTTTTTATACCTCTAGCATTCCATATGATTGTGTTAATCATTGAGATGATTTGGAGGAGAATAATCTTGTGTTTGGTCTGCCTGCAATGACTGAGGCAATGGGGAGAGACTTCTTGGGGGGGAATCTCTCCAAATGTATGCCTCTGGGGGAGATACCTTGCTTGGTAGTAACATGTTGAAGCTCATTGTCCAGATCAATATCATTGCTAGGACTAAAAGCTTTGATCAATAGTTCACTAGTTTCATTATCCTCATCTTGAATATTAAGTGGCTGGTTGTCAACATCCACTTCATCTTCTGAATGCTCAACATCATACTCATCAATCTCTTGACCTCTTACAGTTTTTTGTAGGTTTGTCTGATCAAGGGGCTTGCCAGTGGAAGGGGTATTAAACTAAGCTTTAAGAGGGATCACACCCAAACCTTGTTGCTGATCCACCATAATAATTTTTTTATAGGAGCTCAAATCTTCTGCCTGATGATTGGGATCAGTTTCAGTCTGAGACTGTTCATGTTGCTATTTTTTTGCCTGCTTTTTCTTGTTGGCCTCCCTCTTTTTCTTGCTTGGTTTGTTTTTGCTTTTTGGGTGGTCATCTGTTTGCTAGTGCTGGCTTTGTCACCCATGTCTTTGGCCATGCAGCCTTTCTGAAGGTTGTCATTCCATTTTTGTCATTAACCTGTTGATTTCGATCCTTAGTGTGATCCTGTTTTTGTTGTTGTGTTCCTGTACCTTGGTTACTCTATTTTGTTTGATGAGCAGAACTTTTAGTGGTAGCAGGGGGTTTGAAGGTCACTTATATGGTCAATCAAAGGGTTCTCATGCATAACATGAGACAATTCCCTCCCCTTAGGTTCCCCTTCCTGCATGTTAGTATGTTTCTCCTTCATAACCATCCTCCCTCCATTAATTTCCTCAGTCACAACAAAGGGGATTTCAGGGGAAGGGGTCTCATTTTCAACACAATGATCATCAAAAACAATTACAGGGGTTGGGGGTGGTGGGATTTGAACATTAGATTCCACCTGCTTAATATCAGAAGGTTTGAGTATCATACCTGATTCCTGCATTTGATGTTGTGCATGGTTTGCTTTGGTCTGTTGTGCTTGTTCCTGTGAGTGTATTGTCTTACCTTGGTCATGGTTTTGGGTGTGATTCTTATTCTTCCTTCTGGTCTGAGTTTGCCATTGTTCTTCCGTTTGAGTGTTGTTGTTATCAGTTGCTTCCCCTTTTTTTATTTGCTTATTTGACTGCATTTGTTCCTTCTCCTCCTGTTGTTGCTGGTTGTTTTTTTTCTCTTGGTTGTTTTGCTTGTTTTCACTCTTCCCATATCCTTTCTCTTTTTGATTTCCTCATCTCTTATCTTTAAAGTACAAGTTCCTGCATAGTGTCCCTGATGCTTGCAATATAAACAATAAAGGGGAGTTTCCTCATACTCCACCAGCTGCCACTTGCCTTTAGAAGGATCCTTCTAAAAAAAACCAAGCCATAAATGCTGAGGTCTTTCTTTTGTAAGATCTATTTAAACTTTGACCTTTGCCACACTTCCCTTGTTTTTGTTCATTTTATGGGAAAACAACAAGGAAAGGGGCTAAGATCCTCGTTGACAACATGAATTCGTACGCAAGATACCGAATTGGATCTCTTTCATAGATGGGAATTGATGAATTAAGGAAGCAGTAGCACTCCCTTCCGCTGAAGCTTATCCAGGATTGATCTTTCTTATCCAAGAGTCTTATCAAACTCTCTGCCACTGTAGGTGTGACACAGGTAGTAGTGACTGAAAGACCACGTATACAGTCTGCGGAACCACGCCTAGCTGCGGTGTCAAACTCATATCCTCTGCCTCTTTCTTGAAAAGAAACTATGCCTGATAAGTGAGTTGGGTTAAAAGCATGGAATGTCTTAGCACCATCACCATCTTCAAATAAAGTCTTTTCTACGGTAGCACCATGAATGGCGCATAGCAAAGCAGCGCCCAATACACCGGCAACTCCCATCAAACTATATGGGAAGGGCATTCGTGTAGCATTTTGATCGCTTTGGGAGCCACATGCATAGCTACAATCAAAGGCCTTCTGTGATTATTCCATAAGAATTACTCATTCCTCTTTTAAAAGTCACTTCAGTTATACCTTATCAGTCCCCAAAAAAAAGTCACTACAAATAATCACGTTCTTTTAAGGTGACTCACTTCCTATTCAAGCAATGAAACCATCAGAAGCTATACTAGTCAGTTTAGTTTTGTTTTGTTGTGCTTGCTTGCTTCAATTCCTCTTTAACCAATTCTAATTAGATTTTACTTTCTCGCTGTTGAATCCTTTTTGTGTGTATCTATTGAGGTGGTTTACACATACTGATGATAGGACGTTCATTCCTTTATTTGCAGATGTTTTTGAAAGCCTTGGAGCAACTTTGAAATGTTGCTAAACCAACAAAAGGTTCAAGTGTGGCTATTTTTTGACTGGGGGCGGTAGGCCTTGCTGTGAGTATTCTTCGAGCTGTAGGCCTTGCTGTGAGTATTCTTCACATGGAAAATAACTTTCTTGTTCTGTTTTGTTTTTATCCATATATATGTTAATCTTACTAATGATCTGATCTCATTTGGTCAGGCTGCAGAAGGAGCAAGAATTGTTGGTGCTTCAAGGATAATTGGTGTTGATTTAAATGCTAGCAGATTTGAGCAAGGTAATTAACTTGTGCCTTACACATTCTTGATCCATTATTTTATAATTCCTTCATTATAACTTGTCTCATAGCAAAGCAACTAATTCATCCATTTTACTTCTATTCTACAACTAAGAAATTTGGTGTGACACAGTTTGTGAACCCAAAGGATTATAGTAAACACTGAGGTACTCATATTTACTTCTCCTACTGGATCATTTCGCGAAAGAAAAAAATGACAACAGTGAGTTATACTTGATCATCTTTTCTTGAATTTTGATTATTTGATCAGATAATTGCTGAGATGACTGATCGTGGAGTCGATAGGAGTGTGAAATGTACTGGCCATATTGATGCCATGATTCCAGCATTTGAATGTGTCCATGATGTATGTTTTCTATCATCAAATTTCCTTAATTGTATGTTCTTATTAAAAAATTTATCTTAACGAACATTGTCGTAATTAATTATCAGGGGTCGGGAGTGGCTGTACTTGTTGGTGTACCCCACAAGGAAGCTTTGTTCAAGACATACTCTATGAACTTTCTGAATGAAAGGACTCTCAAAGAAACCTTCTTTGGAAACTACAAACCTAGTTCGGATATTCCTTCTGTTGTTGAGAAATACATGAATAAGGAACTTGAATTGGATAAATTCATCATTCATAAACTCCCATTTTCTTAAATTAACAAGGCTTTTGAATTAATGTTGAAGGGAGAAGGCCTTCGTTACAACATCACCATGGAGGGCTAAACTTGTTGTCCTTGAAAAGGATCTTCTAGCAGTCGCTACTGTCTTCGTGCAAGTCAACTTGCATGTAGGTTAAGCATTATTCCAAAAATTATATGTTCATATCTCCTGTTAGTGCCTACTATGTTTTCTTTTGGTTAATTGAGTTTGTTGTTTTTCTTGGTCTAGGTTGTGTTATTTTTTCAGAACAATGGTGGTTGTTCAGGAAAGCAACCCTTGCATCCTCCACGAAGCCAGAAGCTTTGGGGTTACTCTCCTGATGAATCCATTCATCAAAAGTTCTAGAAGCTTTGTGAACACCAACTAAATATCACAGGTGGTCTTTGCTGTCCCATTCAATGTTTTCTTTTCATTGGTGGTACCTCTAGCTCATACCTTACTGTTGTCTAGAGGAATAGTAGTATAGCTCTGACACTATTAATTTATCTTTTAACTGTAGAAAAGCCTGCATCTTGAACAATTAAACTTATTAAGATCGTGAACTATATCCGGATTGCTATTATGAAGTAATTTATTTTGAACTGGTAACTAAAAGCTGTTTTATTTTGCTTTTCCAGAATTTTAAAACTGCTTTCCTTCTGATGAGAAAGGCATTTTTTAAGCATTGCTAGAAGGAAGCTCTGAGATCTTGTGTAAAAGCTCTGAATTTCTGTGCTACAGAGAGTGGTGGGGAGTTACAGGACTTTGCCCTTATCAAATAAAAGGGGATTGAAGATATCTCTTGTGTTGTTTAATGTTTATTTATGATTAATTGTTGATAATGGATGAATTAATGGTGGTAAGCCTTATGGGTGAAGTATTGGTGATTTTGGCTATGGCTTTGGATTATGGTAAGAAGGCTTGAACTCTCTTTATTGAATTGATTGTTGTTGGTAGGTTGGATCCAGAAGTGTTATAGCTTATTCTTGTGTGGTATTATTGTGAATTGTAGCCATGAAGGCATTGGTGAAGTTGTTGTATAAGGTGGGAATATTGCATTGTTGTGAATTGAGGCCACGAAGGGCATTATATGAGTGCAATTTACATTGTTGTATTATTATACACATATGAGGCTATATGTAAAGTCCTATATGAAGCTATATGTAAAGTTTGTGTGAAGCTATAATGTGAAGATGTTCTAATGGTATTAATGTGATATTGTATAAAGTGGTATTATGCTAATGTGAAATCATGTTTCTCTTGAAATGGTGATATCTGGTGATGATGGACTATGATGATTCTCTATAAGATGATGTTGTAGCTCATATGCTAGACTTGAGTATCTTGTCTTGTGTCATGAAAGCTTGATTATGTATATGAGCATATGAATGTTTGGTTGGGCTATGACTTAGTAATGGAGCTCTCTCTTCCTATAAATGCTAAAAGAGGAATTCTAGGCCAAGACTTGAATTGGTAAGACTTAAGCATGGTGCCTTTTCATGAGTCTAGCTTTCCTAAGTTAAATGTATAACCTTGAAGGATGGGCCTTAGGGTGATGTTCCCTTCTTGAGTGAAATGATAGACTTAGAGATGGATGGAGCCGAAACGGCATGAGAATCCTTATCTAAGAAAGTCAAATGAGCTATCCTTATGAACCTAGATTGGCTATGACTAAGAAATGGGTCCTTTCTTGGGAAGAGGTACTATGAGTTAGTTGAACTAGAAAAGGAACCCTCTCTAGTACATATGTGATTGAATACTCTATGGAAACCAAGGCTAAGCACCGAGTGGATGTGGTTAGGATGGTGGCCTAGTTGAGCATGAGATTAGGCACAATGAGCATCCTTGGACATCTCTTAACCCATGTGCCAACATGGGTTGCTTTATTACCTTTATATCTCCCTCGTCTAGTCGAGATTCCCTAAGAGAAAGGGATCAAATCTGTAGTTGTAGTTTCTATACGTCAATCCAATCTCGCTTCCATTCATCATCCATTCTGAGGAAAGATTCTTGAATAACAGGCTAAGAATATTCTTATAAGTCCTTGTCCGTTATGTATGCTCCAGTAAGAAAGTCCCTTACTTCGGCTAGTAAGGATTTTCAGTTTAGGCAAGCAGGCTGCAGCGCGAGTACCCTTTTTTTTTACTTTTGTTGCAATAGAGGAGATTTCCATTGGACATACAGAGGGAATGGGTGATTCATCGAGCTGGAACTCTCGTCACTACGGTGAGACCAACTCCAGCCAGTATCCTAGCGGAATGTGGCACCGGTTCGTTTCATGGGAACACCTACATCCACAGCGGCGAGCCAGTACTCTCTTGCTCCAATGTATGCGACCCAATTCACTGGTATGAGAGGACCAATCCTCTCATTACTAAGGGTGAATCAAATCCACATATCGCACGTTGTTGGACCTTCTTTAGCCCCGATTGGCCTGTAACGAATATGAAATACATACTCACACCAAACAACACGTGTTAGAACATGCTGATTCACCAGGCAAGAGATGTCATCTGCCCGTTGGAAAGAAGCCGGGACTCATGCAAACAAAAAAGCGCCCTTACGCTCTAGTTTGATCGGGGGGCCGCAACTAAGATCAGAGGGATAAACTTTCCCGTTATCGGAACAAACATTTTATTTCCAGGGTTCCTCACTTGTTTTTTACTTTCTTTTTTACGAAAAAAAATTCCGGACGACCGGAGCGGAAAACCTCTCCCGACAATTGGAGAAGGAGAAAGCCATTCCTACGGGCCTGGAACTGTGATGAATGAAGTAAGAATTTCGGGCTAGGGCTTGAGAATTTACATCTAGGTGCTTGTCTAGTTCCCGGTGAGACCGTTGATTTTGCGAAGGCCCGAGGTCCCCGCCTTCTTTGCTTGAAGCTCAGGTATTCTTCCTTCACCCACTTATGAAATTGAAGCATGTAGTCTCGCCGCTAGTAGCCATGCTACCTTCTTTGGCCCTGCCTTACACACCTTATTTATCCTGCCTGCCGCCCTTGGAAACAGCCTTCCTTAGCTTTCGCCCTCCCACAGGAAACAGAGTTCTTTAATTTGAAGCTCCGTACTCTTGTGAAAACGGACTACACTGTCTCAACCACCCGCCTTTCCCTTCTTTTGTTTGTTCTGGACCCGAAAATGCCCGTTCGCTTGTCATTGGGGATCCCAATCTGACTTGCTCGTGGTTTATTAATGTCGGGGTTGTTTTTACTTACCTTTCTGTCTATGAAAGAAATGAGGAGAAAAGAAATTGTACTAAAAGGAAATTCTCTGCTCAAATAAGCTTTCCTGAAATGATGAAAGGCAAGAAGGAAGCTCCGTCTCCGTCCCCTCCCTTCTGTCCAAGACTCTTGAATCAGTCTCGTCTTACATTCCCTCCTCTCTGCCTAGGCGAAAGAGAGTCCCGCCTATGGTCTACTCAAAGGTTGAAGAGACAGATTGTGGGTCAGATCAATCCATTCCGTTCTTCAGGGAAGATCTATGGAATAGGAAAGCCAAAACGGATCTATCAAAACAGATCTATTCTAAGTAAATACTTGGTCGATACGAGACTCTTTCTTAGTTCAGTGGGGTTTGAAAGCAGTCTACAACGAATCAAGCAGGTTCAGTAACAACGGATAACGGTCCTCACCACTCAATGGAGAATAGAAGGATAGGCTACGACACTTCTTTTCTCACTTTCAATGGGTTCAGGTCCGATAGCCACGAAACGGAGAAGAGAAGGATAAGTTGCGCACTTTAGGCCTGTTCCAGGTCAGTCGCTCAAAGAAAGGAAAGTACGTCGTGAGCTGTAGGCAGGAAAGAGAAAATAGAGCGATTGGTAAGCTGACCCTACAAGGAATTCTTTAGTTTCAGTTTCGTGGGAAGAAGAAGAAGGGGGATTCGAATCGCCTATTTTTCCCCTTCTTTTTCCGGCTAGCTCTAGCCCTAGTAGAGGTCCGAGTAGACTAGACTACTAAGGGCCAGCGTCCAAGGACCTGCCAGACTGCTGATCTTACTTAAGCACTCGACGTCACAAATAGCAATAAGAAGGGGCAAGGGGTTCACCCACTTTCACGAGTTTCATAGGTTCAAGAGATCCCACTATAGAAGTGTCTAGCCGTTCGCCGAAGGAAGGCATTCTTTATCAAAGTCTCCGAAAGGCGTGAGTCGCCTATTTGTCCCCTTCTTTTTTCGGCTAGCTCTAGCCCTAGTAGATGTTCGAGTAGACTAGACTACTAAGGGACAGCGTCCAAGGA